ACGACAGAAAATAAATGCGCAAACCCACACACACTCATCTGTCGAGCTGTTGCTGTCAGGTTCAGGCCCAGTGGTTCTGTTAAGGTGACTCTGACAGGAGGAAAGAGACGCCAGTCTGATAGGAGACATGCCCGAGAGGCCCCCATGCATCAAACGCACATATTTACATAAACAAATCCTCCCCATATAGACTGTAATTACCGCTGTGACACTGCCATCCATAGAGGAGAAAAGAGCTTGTCTGATAGCGACACGTTCACAATGACTGAGGTGGAAGCTCAATCAATGTTGCCACGTCGCGAGATGCTTTATGTGCACAGGTCGAGTCCTTTGATGGGCTTTTGTGCCACTACTGAATATATGGACACCGTACATCATCATATGAAAAAGTGCCGTCCCCTATCACGAGAAATATAAAAGGAAGGATGCGCACACACTTTGTTACAAACAATTGTGTAATGTTGAAAGATGCTCTTTGAGGTGAGAGAACATCGGTGTACAGATGATAGCTGTGATCTATGGATTATCTTCTCTTATTATATTTTCCATTTGCACTGTTAAACCATTTTAACCTTGATGTACGATTATGTACTAAAATAGCAGAATATGTGTTACAATTTCCTTGTGTAGTCTAAAAATAAATATTGCTAATAGGTGTGTAGACCAGTGTGGGTCACAAGACCATTTTTGAGTGGGTCGCGGAGTGTGCAGTCAAAGAAACAACAACAACAACAAAAAATTTAATTGTATGTTTTTTTTTTGTTTTGTTTTTCTGATGCGAGGCTTTTATTTTGAAAAACATGAAAGCTGTTGACACTTCTGTCAGATACAGGTTAGGTATAGAAGGCAATTTTGAAGAGGCTAGCAATAGCAAGCTAGCAAGATCCCACCCTCCCTTTAGAGCGTTTCCAGAGCTACGGCTAATCCGAAAGACATAAACCCTCACAGCCCAACGCATTCTCATCCGTTATCGTCATATAGAACGCTATATGACAAAACGGCGCTATACTACGCACATGGCACCCGTTATTGTTAATATAACACGCGCTGTGAGGGCTAAGTTTAGGTGTGGGGTAGGGTAGTCTCATATTACACTAAAGGATTTATGACGCCTTGGGTTCGCGTGTTTTATTAACGATAAAGGGTGTCATGTCCATAGTATAGCGCCGTTTTGTCATATAGCGTTCTATGTGACGCTTAAGGATGAGAACGGGCTGCACAGCCAGTGCGAGTCCGCAAAGCATCACAAGATGCCGTTAACTTACAGAGATCAGACTTTTACCACCTGACCGCTTCAGATATTATTTTGCCGTTGATAGTGTTAAATTACAGTAAAAATCCATAAATCCAAGTTTGAAGACATAAACATCATGGGGTAGAACGTCACATGTTGCCATCTTATAACCATTGTTACGACATGGCGTGAACGTAGCATAAGCTTGTTGTTTTGGTTCTATAAGAGGGACTATATAATGTGGCTCCTATTTATTTGCGGCGCTAGGTGACTCTCCATAGCTAGGGTGACCACCTGTCCCGCTTTGCGTTGTACCGCACAGCATTTTCACCCCTTGTCACGCACGTCACATATTGAGGAAATGTCCCGCATTTTCATCAGTCTGTTAGTTTTTAATTATCATAGTAAGAAAACGTGCATGTGTTCTTTTGCCTTTTTAAGAAAGCATTTTATTTATTTTTACAGCGTAGTTTTTCACCTATATTCAACAGCATTTCATCATAAGTACAAACACAACAGCCTAAAGCTGTTGTTTAGCCCCAAAAAATCTTTGTTTAGCCTACAACAGCCTTTGGGCTCAGTGATGTTGAATTTAAATGTCATGTAAAATAATTTTTTTTATTTATTTTTTTTTTTATGGAAGGGACACAAGAACAAAGCATTTTTATCAGCTGAAAGGCAGATTACAAATGTTTATATATATATAAATTACTGAACTTAAATATACAATCTTGATAAAAATTACCATTCTAGAAGAAAATTTCAAATGGCATTTAGAGGCTTTTGCATCTGAACTCTTCATATATATATATATATATATATATATATATATGAAGAGTTCAGATGCAAAAGCCTCTAAATGCCATTTGAAATTTTCTTCTAGAATGGTCATTTTTATCAAGATTGTATATTTAAGTTCAGTAATTTCACTTAAATGGCAATTACTAGGTAATCTTCATTGCCATTTAAGTGAAATTACTGAACTTAAATATACAAGCTTGATAAAAATGATCATTTTAGAAGAAAATTTCAAATGGCACTTAGAGGCTTTTGCATCTGAACTCTTCATATATTATAGTTAGATAGAAATTATTTAACAGTTTCAGGGTACGTTTTAGTGTTGGTAACATGTCCCACATTGTCCCACACATAATCGTCCCACATTTGGTTTGTTTGATGGTGGTCACCCTATGGACCGTAGCCGTAGCTAACATGGTGATGTCTGCGTGAAGTTATGGTAATACATAGGTTGACAGGGAGGTAGAAACCTCCTATTATTACATTCGAACCGATTCAGTATCTGCTGTCAGATGAGATGTTGTCACGCTACAGTTGTGGTCATAATTATTGGCACCCCTGGTAAATATGATTAAAGATGGCTGATCTGCATTGTTTATCCTTTTGATCTTTCATTAAAAAAAAAAAAAAAAAAATTCTCAAAAATCTCCTTTCGTTGAAAAGAATTGATGGGAGGAAAATCTCATTGTGAAATAAATGTTTTTGTTTTTTTTCTCCAAAACAGGTTGGCCACAATTATTGGCACCCATGTAATTTTGTATGAGTAAAATATCTCTGAAGTATATTCCCATTAATATTTACACTTTTTAGCAGACCAGGGTGACTAGGAACATGAAATTGTCCAGCTATGACTTAATATGAGGAGTATAAATATGAGGAAACACAAAGGCCAAATTCCCTTAATCATTCATCCCTGTATAAGTAAAACCAAAGAATATAAAGTGCTAGAAAGTTTGTGAACCCCTTGCAGAATCTGTGAAAATGTGACATTTTTTACAAAATATAAAATTTTGTATATATATTTTTTTTATTTAGTACTGTCCTGAATAAGATATTTTACATGAAAGATGTTACATAGAGTCCACAAGACAAAAAATAAATAAATAAATACATAAAAAATAGCTGAATTTGTACAAAATGTACAAACCCTTGATTCTTACTGTGTTGTTTCATGAATGATCCATGACGGTTCTTCAGAAAAATCCTCCAGGTCCCCAAAATTCTTCAGTTTTCCAGCATCTTTTGCATACCCTTTCCAGCAACCCAAGCCCTTTGAATCCTTTCTAGCAGTGAATGTATGATTTTAAGATCCATCTTTTTACACTAAGGACACACTTTCTAATTTTGTTAATAAAAATCATCATTAAAGAAGAAAATTTCAAATGGCATTTAGAGGCTTTTGCATCTGAACTCTTCATATATATATATATATATATATATATATATATATATATATATATATATATGTGAAATTTAGTACTGCCCTTCAGAAGCAACAAGATACTTACATGTTTCCTGGAAGACAAATTAGGTACAGTTTACCTTAATCTTCAAATTTTCACATTTGAAACCAATAGGTTCAGCTCATCAGAAGACCATTGGCTGAAGCTAATATAAACTGTGTCCATGATACACTTTGTGTTTTTTCTATGAAATCTGTCAACTCTGATTTCTCAAAATATGCAGACTGTTTCTGACTTTAAGCAACTATAGCGTCAACTTATCCAGACTGCAAATCAAGGCAAAAATGTGTGCAAGTGTATTCATGTACTGCAAATCGTGTATTATATAGCCCTGACTTTCCAGATAAACGAATGAAGAAACCTTTAAAACATGACTCCAACAAGAGCATAAACAAACTGTAACTGGTGATTTCATCCAACTCTTGCGTTTTTGTGTGCCATATGCATCAGACATGCAGTAAATAGACGTTGGCTGATAGAGAACTAGTTTTAATGGTGCTATGTTTAAGTGTTTGTGAAGTTTCTATAGAGCACAAGAGATTTACTGTGAAGTGGAATTCTCAAGGAAGATCTGTTTTTTACCTGTTTTTGAGAGTTAGCCTAACACACATTTCTGTTCATGAATTGCAGGTGGGAGATGCAGGAAGCTGCAGCACTAGAGGATGAAGAGAAGATTTTAGTGGATCAGTTAAAGAAAACTTATTTCAACAAAAGCTATGAAACATGAACTCTTGGCGACTATAACAGAAGCACCAAATAACCAATTTATTGAAATGTTAAAAGTGTACGCAAGTCCTTACTCCTGATGTACTGTGGTTGTGAAACAATTCTTTGTAAATGAATAAAAAACAAAACATTTTTTTTTTTGCGCGTTACTCGAAGAACCCGTCCTGTTGTGGAAAATTACAGGAGGTGCTCTAAAGATAAAACAGCTCATGACACATACTGTATGCATACAATGTTATTGTAACGAGATTCTTAACTTGTTATTGAACCTTGTGGAGTAATGAGTGGAGTTGTTTTATGAATATTTGACTAAAGTTAGCTTAACTAAAGATAGCTTTACATCATTAGGCATTTTGGATAGGCCTACTGACTGTCTGAAGTGCAAATGACATGCAAACATCAACAATTGTTATTAAAAAACGATTAAAAATTGCTTTATGTGGAGTTTATTCATGTATTTGTTTGTTATTTTATTTTTATGTTTTAAAGTCAGTTAATTTAAAGTGATAAAATGTAGGCTACACTATGCGTGTGATTCATTCATTCATTCACAAAGAAGACATAATTTCTTTCAGGAGATTTAAACTCGATTTAATACACATAATACAGAAAATATCAAAAACATGACTATATGAAGCGAATTACCTATTATTGATATGAAAACGTTTGTACAATAGACCGGCTGTGTCTGTGTGAAAAGCGGCGCTGTCTGTTTAAATCCCGCCAATCAGCTGAGGCGCGTGTAAGACGCTTCCGTTTCCGAGGAGACGGAAGCGTTTCTTCCTGTTTGGCAGAAGGAGGAAGCAGGATGTGTGAAATCTCACATGTGCTTGTTGTTATGGTACGTGAGCGGAGCGACATGCATGCAAATACATTATTTACCTCTCCCACCGTCTTAATTTAGCTCTTCAGCAGGGTGATCAGTATCGCTGCTTTAAATATCTGTGCTTTGTGAAGTTATTGTCCCATTTGTGGAATGGGTTGTTTATAAACATTGGCTGGTGTCCATGAAGCGTGTGTTTTAGCTTGTTTACATGTTCCGATTATGTCAGAAACAGCAGATCGCTTCATTCACTCTGTTTCTCTGAATGCAGACACTGAGATTTAGGGAGTATGTGAGTCTCTCACTGCAGCACGCTTGGTTATAGACCTTTATCAAACTGTTAGCTTAAGGCTAGTTGCCATCATAACACACAGCCAGCACTGTCTGATCAAAGTAAACTGTCATTAAAGTAGGGCGAAATTAAATACAATGACTTACATTTGACTGCAGATTTCAGCAACATCACAACACTAGCATTACTCTAGAAGCACCATAGCTCAACAAGTCAACACATTCACAGTCAGTATTTATGTATTGCTAATTTAAAAAGTCAGTAAATAGACAGATTATTATTATTTGTACAAATCAAAATTATGTATTAAACATATTTATATTATTATTATTATATTATTATCATTATAAATTAATGTGTGATATGTACTGGCTTTTCTTTTTTGTGTGAAATTACTAAAGTTTTTTTTCCTTCAAATTATTAGCCTATAGTTTGTTCAATAATCTTAAAATAAATATGATGTTGCAATATTTTAATATTGATTTAAGTTTGCATGATTACATCATAATTTCTATAAAATAATATATTAACAGCGTGATAACAGGTCTTTTGATGGTATCAACACTTTGCAAGCCTTAAAGGGTTCACCAAAAAAAAAAAAGAAATTTATATCATTAATTACTCACCCTCATGTCGAAACCAGTAAGACCTTCATATCTTTGAAGAAATCCGACAGCTTAGTGACCCCCTGCAGACTGCAACTCATTTTCCACCTTCAAGGCCCAGAAAGGTAGTAAAGACATTGTTAAAATAGTCCGTGTGACTACAGTTGTTATACCTAATGTTATGAAATGACTACAATACGAAAAAACAAAAACAAAACAAAAAAACACTTTATTCAACAATTTCTTCTCTTCTATGTCAGTTTCTGAAGCTGTAAACACAGTGCAGCGCTTCTGGTTTCTATGTCAAAACGGCAGCTGAGTATTGGCCGGTCTCACACACATGCGTCGTCGTGCAGAGACTGACACTGAAGAGAAGAAATTACTGAACAAAGTTGTTTTTTTTTTGTTTTGTTTTTTGCACAAAATATATTTTCATAACTTCATAAATTAAGGTGAACCACTGTAGTCACATATATATTTATTTTAACAATGTCTTTACTACCTTTCTGGGCCTTGAAATTGGTTATGAGTGGGAATCAGAAAGCACTTGGGTTTCACTTTTTTTTTTGTTCCAAAAATGAACGAATGGCTTACGAGTTTGGAACAGTATTTGGTTGTGTAATGAATGACATACATTTCTTTTTTTGGGTGAACTAACTCTTTGTTTTGTTATTTCATTAAATGTAAGTAAATGTATTCATTTATTTTTATTCTTCTCAGTGACATCCTGTAACATATCTGTAGTGGTGTGTCCATGCCTATTAGAACCAGCAGCTTCATCTTCTGTTTATTTTGGATAACTATGGCCCAGCTCTTGCAAGAAGAAAAAGAAAAAACTACTGCACTCAAAGGTAAAGCCACCAGTTATAAAAATACAATGTATACATCACAACTGGCGATTTCATCGTTGAATAGAATAACAAGTATTAATATGTACATGTTTATTTGCTTTATAGATCTATTGTCCAGGATAGATTTAGACGAACTGATGAAAAAAGATGAACCTCCGCTGAACTTTCCTGAAACTCTAGATGGGTTTGAATATGCCTTCAATGAACGTAAGACCTTTCGCTTGACTTTACTCAACTTTTTTAGACGCTGTAAATATTTTTTTCACTATGATATGCGTGCCATAGACCATCAAATAGCATTTCAGCTTGTACTTTAATAACATCTTTTTGTACCTTGTCTGCGGTTATGAAGGTTTGAATGCTTTAGAAGTGTGCCGTTGGTTTCATTGGATATTGACAGCAGGCAGCAGGCTGTGATAGCGCTGTCTGTTTCAGAGTCTCTGGAGTCTGTGGCAGCTGAATGGACAAGTTGTGCATGCTATGGGCTGTCAGTGGCTTACTCAGCCTTGTGCTCTGTTTGACGGCTAGATTTGCATAACCTTGCTCCTCTCTCTAAAAACGCCTCCTGTTAGCGTCTGGAATACCTTATATCAGTCTCTCAGTGAAGAGTATCACTTTTACTCGATTTTATGAGAAAGTTTCACTTTGTAACTTCTTTTCTCACTCTCTGGGATGAATGTAAAATTGCCATTGAGCCAAAGCATAATCCTGGATATTAAGTTTTTGATGCAAGATTTTTGTCACAAAATAGGGCCTAGAAGTCAACCATTGGGGTGCATAGCATTTGGAAAAAGTTGATTGTTAAACTAAATAGTATATGAGTCAAAGCCAATGGGACATGATTTGAGTGATGCAATTTAATAGGAAAAAAAAAAAAACACTTGATTTTATAAATTATTAAAACAATAATTATTAAATACATTTTGTAAAGTAAATGTATAAAAACTAATAGTAAAAAAAACATATTTGAATGGAAAAGGGGTTACTTGCAGTTTTAGCATAAATTACTGTAAGTTGTCATTTTCACTAAAACATTTTTTTTTTTAAATGTTTAAATAAAACAAAGATTGTTTGGGGTTGTTTTACTAGAAAATACTTGTAAAAAAGTTTTAAATTTCTACTTTTAAATTTCACGTTTAATTGATACTTGCGGTTTCATTGTAATTGTTTGTGAAAGTACAGAAACTACCAATTTCTGAAGGATTTTTCGTTTTAGCGTTTATTCGTTTAATAAATAATTTAATTTCAATTGCTTTGGTAACGGGATCGAATAGTTAAGCTTCATATATGTGATGATTATACCAAAATGCAAACATATATATTTTTTTTTTTTTGGATACAGCTGAGAAGGTTCTAAGACCAGACATTTATACTTTTAAGATGAAGGAAATGTTATTTGAAATTTTAGTTTTTGTAATATCTCTAGTAGTTGTCTCCAAAAAAACCCAACAACATTTAATGCTTTAAAAAGGGACTCCACAGAGTACGCTATTTATGGAAAATGCTTTTTAATTTTTGTGTTTTTTTCCCGACTTATTCTTTTTTTTTTATTTGCCATCTAATGAGATAACCCCACAAGAAATATGCATGCATACATTTTATTGAAATATATGTATTTTTTAAATCATGTGGCATGATGACTTCATCCCAGTCCGCCTTCAGCTCCTTCGTTATTGGAAATCCAAGGTTATGTATACCTCATTAAGCTAAAAATGGAGAAAGCATGCTAATTATGCCAGGTTAAAGCAGGGAGAATAAGTTGAAGGGGGGTATTCCTCAGAGAGCCTGTGTTATGAAGACGATGGAGCTGAACTTCCACTGCATGTTGGTTTCATTAGATCCTCTCTTCCTTCTTTTAGGCGCTTCTGGTAGTAGTGTTTCTCTTCACCCTTTTGTGAATGCATAATTGATTTTCAAATGTACTTTTTTTGTACTAGCTCTCTCCCATCCCACCATATCGCTCATTCTTTTTATAATACTCTTTTCCCCATCCTTTCTCAAAGGAGCGGCCATGCTTTCAGAGTTCAGTGTTGATCCACGGCCTTTTAGTGCTACATGTTGTTGAACAGCTAACGATGAAAGTGAATAGTGTAATACACTCTTGAGTTAGCCATGTTGGATTTATCGCTTGCTAACTGTGCAAAAAGTGCTGGAGCTTTGAGAATGTGGGGAATGAAAGTGCTTATGCAATCTTTTATCTTCAAAGCTGTTTTTCTTTTTGCGGAGCCATGCGCTAGGGGTAATTGCAAAAGTATGAGGCCCCTAGGCTATTTCGGTTAAGTGTGTATGCTTTGAGTATTTTAACTTCACGCATTAGCAATCAGAGAGGTCACAATTAGATTTAACACTGTTTTTAAGGCTTCATTATGCCTCTGTGTCAACAGCAGAATAGATGGGCCTATCTTTCCAAAGCATCGTTTTTAGAAATGCTCGCAGGCACTTTCTAATCTATGTTTTTCAGTGTTGTATTGTTTTTTGGATTTGAATTGTACTACTAGAATGTTTTGTTTCCTCTGATACCTAACAATATATATATATATTTGTCATTGATGGATAGTTGTCAATGATTCAACTCCCATTGCAAATCAGGTTTATTGGCAATATTTATTGATTTTCAGCTGTTTGCAATGAACAAATCAAACAAAAGTAATTTAAAATAGCTCAACACAAGAAATGTTTTAAGTGGTTTCCCCAAATTCAACTGAAAATGCAACTTTTAATGAGTTCTGCAGTCTCAGAATTATTCAACCCTTTCATGGCACCCATATTTAGTACTTAGTAAAACACAGTTTTGCTGTTATGACCTGCTGCAAATGAGATATATAAACCAGACCTCATTTTCTGGCAGCATTTCTGAGGAATCTTTGCCCATTCCTCATGAGAGCATTGGCCTCCAGTTTGTGTGCTGCAACTCCCTTCTTCAAATCCCACCAGAGATTTTCTATGGGGTTCAAGTCAGGTGACTGTGATGGCCATTGTAAAATCAAGCCTTGGTGGAATTTGAGGTACAGTATGTTTGGGATCATTGTCCTGTTGGATGCCCAAGTTTCAGCTTCCTCACTGACGCCATGACATTTTCTCTTAGGAGTTCCAAAAATGAATCCACCTTTCCTTCCACATGCTGGAGGTTTCCAGTGCCAAAGGATGCAAATCATCCCCAAAGCATCACCAATACACCAGCATGCTTAAGTATTGGAAGAGTGTTCTTTTCAGTATGTTGCTACCAAGTCTTGCTGCAGGTCTTTTGCAGTCACTGGAGGGTTTTTCTGAATCTCAGAAATGTTGTTGATAGCTTCCTTTTTCTGTCCCTTCCAAATAGTGTAACCACTGTTCCTTTAACTTTGAACGTGCAAGCTATGCTACCAATGTTGTCTCTTGGAACATTTAGTGCATTTACTGTTCCTTGTTTGTCAATGGTGCAATGATAGGCTATCTTCTCTTAACTTTTTGGACCATTCTTTTGACTTAGCCATATTTATAACATGCAAAACGTGACACTCATCAAACCTAGCCAGTTCACTTCATGTGTTCTATCTCAAGCACACCTGGTGCAACTAATGATGCCCTTGATTAGTTACATCAGGTGTGCTTGGGACAACACCTGTTTTGCAGATTTGTGCTGTTGTGAGGGATTCTATTCAGGCGTTCGAATAATTTTGAGACTCTCTAAATCATTAAAAGTTGCATTTTCACTTAAATTTGGGGAAACCACTTGAAATATTTGCTAAAATGTAAAACCTATTTTTTTTTTTTTTTAAAAACACTTATTTATTTCAGTAAAACACTTTACCTTATTGCTAAAATGTAAAACCTATTTTTTTTAAACACTTATTTATTTCAGTAAAACACTTTACCTTTACTTTACTTTACCTTATTTAAATTACCTTATTGAAGTGTAAAGTGTCTTGATATCAGGTGACCCCAATTGGCTTTATGCACAGCTGCACTACTTCCTGAACTTAAGCCAGCTCCTTTGTTTCCTGTCTGCCATTATTGGACAAATTGATTAGTTCAGGTGTGCCTGACCTCAGTAGTCACGGCAACAATAATCAGACACACCGGAATTAATCAAGCTTGGCCAATAATGGCAGACAGGAAACAAAGGAGCTGGCTTAAGTTCAGGAAGTAGTGCAGCTGTGCATAAAGCCAATTATGTTCCTCTGTGGGCCAGATTAAACCTTGTTCTAGCCTATATATTAAGTTCTATATATTGACTTTAGCACATTTCCACTTTGTTTTAAACACTGTTCTTGCATTCAAATTAAGCGTGGTCCACTGCTGCGGAAATAGGCTTTATGCACAACTTACTTCCGCATTCTCTGTAAAACAGGTCGCATCGCTTCCGGTCCAGGTCTTTTGTATGTGCTTCATGAAATTTTTTGCGGTTTTACTCAAGATAACTTAAAAGGAGCGAGCAAAGATTAGCAAAACAATATCCCTCACATGTGCAGATTGATATTTTAAACGTTTTATATTTTTTATTCTTCACTGCAACGTTTAGATATTTAAATGGAATAAAACGCCAATGACAAAGTGAACTAGTTAGGTTAGCTGATTACCTTAAATATCCATAGATATCGTAATCAGTTCTTACGGCCGTTAACACTTTCTCTGACAAGCGGATGCGATGAGACCCGTTTTCCGGTTTGGTCACGTGACGCACGGCATAAAGCCTACTGAAACAGAGGCAGCTGTATGGATACTCCTATCGACAAGTCGTTTTAGGCGATGCATTGTTGTATCAATGTTTGGAACACAGCCCTAACCTGTCATAGCTGAAGCGAATATTGTTGTTCATCTCCTAACAAGGCCACATAATAAGGTCTGGGTAGATTAAATGGTATGCAAACAATCAGTTCTTGTAATCATGTTGGATGCAGGAGAAATGGGCAGGAATAAAGATCTAAACATCTTTGACAAGGGACAAATGGTTATGGCCAGGTGAATGGGTCAGAGTATCTCTGAAACTATAAGTCCTGTGGGTTGCTCCTGGTTTGCAGTGGCGAAAAATTTACTTACGTGGGTCCGAGGAGGGACAAACCCCAAACTGGCAATAGGGTGTTGGGCACATCAATTTACGAGGGCAACAAAGCCTATCCTGTCTGGTCTGAGCCAATAGTGGCCAACCAAGTCACACTAGTTTTTAATTATGGTTATGGGAGGTTGGTTGTGGATGGTTATGGGTGTACAAACTACAATGGGCATGTGAGTGTCGTAACTGGACCTTGAAGCAGTTAAAGACGATCTCCTGGTGGGAGTCCTGTTTTATTTTACATCACCATGATGGCCGTGTACGTGTGCACCGTTTACCTGGGAAAGTGATGGCACCAGGATGCACTGTGGGATGACAACAAGCCGGTGGAGGAAGTGTGATGCTCTGGGCAATGTTCAGCTTGGAAACCCGGGGTCCAGCCATTCACATGGATGTAAATTTGACGTGCTACCTAAACATTGTTGCAGACCAGGTACATGGTATGGTGTTCCCTGGTGGAAGTGCTTTATTTCAGCAGGAGAATGCATCAATTCTCCAGGAACGGTTTGAGGAACATGATGAAAAGTTCAAAGTGTTGCCCTGACCTCCAAATTCCCCAGATCTCAGTCTAATTGAGCATCTGTGAGATGTGCTTTACCAACAAGTTCGATCCATGGCTGCTCCAACCTACAGGGCATGAAGGATCTGCTGCTTACTTCTTGGTGCCAGAGACCACAGGACACCTTCAGGGGTCTTGCAGAGTCCATGCCTTGGCGGGTCTACAATGTTTTGTCAGCACGCGGTGGACCAACAGCATACTAGGCTGGATAATTAAAGACAATTGTAGTTTTACAAAACATTTATATGTCAAATAAATGCTGGTGAATTTTCTTTTCATCAAAGAATCCTAAAAAAGGTATCATGGTTTCCTCAAAAATCTTAAGCAGCACAACTGTCTTCAATATTAATGATAATCTTCAGCAGCAAGATATATATATATATATATATATATATATATATATATATATATATATATACTGTATACTGTCATGTATGTATGTATCTGACTATAAATTGGGTAACAGGGTTGAATGGATGAGTTGGCGCATGGATAAAAGCATTATATACTTTTATCCAAAGAGTGGCTGCCGAATACGTCAGTTATTCAGCCTCTTCCCCTAAAACACACAATTAGTCCTAACCCAGCATGTTGTTGTTGTTGTTTACCTCATCCACCTCAGCAGCTGTTTAGCAGCATCAGTATTTGGGCAAAAGCCAGGCCTCATTGTCCAGCCTTGGCAGAACAGTGGCATTCAAGTGGGTCACTTTGAATGAAGTCGGCTGGCCCGCTCTCAAAAGAGCCCCTCAAAGGATGCTCATAGGAGGGAACAGTTGCAGTGGTCCAGTTATACTCACGTACGCTCTCGGATCTCTCGTGGCTTGAAGTACAGTTGCGGAGAGACTGCTATTGCTGCACCAGCTGTCTGAGGAAGGCCTGCCAGACGTCCCAGAAGGCCAAAGTAAGGGGGACAGGAGAGGCGCTAGCCGTTCGCAGGCCTTGTACCTGCCAGATGGGGGGACGCCAGCCAAACGTATTTAATTGCATGAAGGGGAATGATGTGCATCAAGCAGGCCTAAGGTTCTGAACTGAAGGTCATAGCCAGTGCGCTTCTCCTGATGGGTAGAAAGACTTCTGCATGCGGTGTATGCTAAAGCTTTCAGTCTATTCAAAATTGTTTCATTGGATCCAAACTACTAAATTAGAATTGGATTGGCTGAGGTTTTTGATGCCACTCAAACTGCAGGTGCAAATGGTTGCTGAATGTAAAGGTAAAGAGTGATTCACATGAGTTCAAGCCTGCCAATGTTGTGCCCTTGCTGAGAAAACACCAAGGCTTTCAAGTGTGTGATGGCCAATCAGAGACGTCTCACTTTTATGTCGGAAAACATTCTTTTCTCGTTGGCACACAAAAGCTTTGGCTTCATGCCTTGCCTCACGCTCCACTTCAAGATACTCTGCACTAATATTGCCCTTAATATTCCCTTAATCTGTAGTAAAGTGGAACTGTGGGAGAAATGTTACAGGAAGATAAAAGGTAATAAACACAAAATGCATCCAGTGGCTGACCCAAAACAGGACATTGCATTGGGCAAGTGTCATTTTATTGGGAATAGAGGGCAGACAATGGGTGGTTAACTTTTCATACACTTTTTTTATGGAAGACCTGCATTGAGGTATTCTCAGACTTTAATGATGTAACTTTTTATGATATTTTCACAAAATGATGAAATGATGTATTTTTATTTTCTGTAGATGGTCAGTTAAGACACATAAACACAGGAGAGCCGTTTGTCTTCAACTACAAGGAGGACCTACATAGATGGAACCAGAAAAGATATGAAGCACTGGGAGAGGTAATGATTATATTTGATAATATTTTATGTAAAAATGTGATATTATTTTCATAGATCTTTTTGGAAATTATTTGTGCTTCAATTCAATATTATAGAACATCTTTGATTAAATATAAACTAAATATTGGTTTGACTGTTACTTAAAATTATGTATTTTACACTGTCGCTCAAATGTTTGGGGTTAGTATTTTTTTAAAATCTGAAATAAATTTGTATTTTTATTCAGCAAGGCTGCATGAAATTGATCAATAGTGACTGTAAAGACATGTATAATGTTACAGAAGATTTATATTTTACGTACATTACTTTCTTATTCTCAAATCACTTTCTAATCATCAAAGAATCCTACTATATATATATATATATATTGGGTTCCACAATAGTATTAAGCAGCAAAAGCAAAACAATTTTCATTCAACATTGATCATAATAAGAAATGTTTCTTGAGTAACAAATCAGCATATTAGAATCATTTCTGGTTTGAAAATTACACACACACACAATATATATATATATATATATTACACACACACACACACACACACACACACACACACACACACACACACACACACACACACACACACACAACACACACATATATATATATATGAATGTATAAATAATAATTAATTTTTTTTTTAAATTGTAACACTATTTCACAATATTTCCATTTTTCTTAGATAAATGCAGCATTTAGTTAGTTAGTGGGTTTATGAATGAATCAGTGAAAGGATAAATTTACAAATGTGGAGCTTGCAGCTTTAAATAAATTAAAAAACAATTTTTGCAACAAAAAACTTACAACAAAAAATTTGTAAGTTCATATAAATGCACAAAACTTCACAGAACTAATGTGAAGGTCAGACAGATACTTTTTCAAAGTCACACTGCCACCAAAGTTTAAAACCATTGTTTTAGAGCAGTGGTGTATTATTATTTGTATAGGCTGTCAATCATGGTTACATGGGTCACATGGATTTTTGACACAAGACATTTTGGGCCTGGTGAATGAGTGTGACTAGGGTATCTCTGATACTCTGATTATAGACCATCTGATTATAGACCATCTTATCATGTTTGTTTTTTTTTTTGTCTGTGTTTTGTCAGAGCAAACTCTGCTGTGCTCTGATTTACAGCACTCTCACTATTCACACCTTCACGCTTTACCAACCATTACTTTCCACAACCTCGTTCCACTGTCACGCTCTGGGGCTGTGTGCATGTTGCAGGGTTTAAGAGTGTTGATTGTTCATATTCTGATGTGTATCACATGTTGGCTTATTCGACTATGTGTTTGTACTTGCGTTTGCCTTCAGGATTTCTGGGACGTTTCTCTTTCTACTGTAGCCTCCATGTGCGTGGCTTTGAAAGTTCAAATTTAGTTCACTCGAGTCTTAAGTTAATTTGTGTATACATGCACTTAATTATCTTTACTCATTTACATCTGGCTTATTTGGTTTTATTTGTAGTGTGTATTCGTTTGATGTTCAAAGAAAAGAAATTGACTCTTTTAGTGATTATGTGAGTGTTTTATTTCTGGTCCAGGTATGATCCTATGAGAAATGTCCCTTTAAGAACAACAACAACCAAAAAAAAAGCCCCTTCTTTCCTATTATCATTGCATATCTGTGTACGTGGCTAAAAACATAAAGCAAGAGTTTCGGAGCAGAACAGCGGGTGACCAGATTTCATGTAAGTTGAGGGAGTTCAAAATAGACTGGAAGTGAAAGCAGGTTGGACTTGTGATATTGTTTTGTGTGTTAAAGGATTAGGTTGAGCAATGTTAGATGCTTTGTGATGTATGTGCAATATGGAGGCATGCAATATCAAATCGCTGTTGTGGCACCTGATATTAAAGTATTGTTTGTGGTAGCCTACATTCATTAAATGGTATAGAAAGAAAATAGTAATATCTCATCGCTTAAGTCATGTCTGGCCACCCTGAATAAATATATTGGATGTACAAACAGTGCCAATGATGTTTATCATTGTTCTAAAGTTCAACACAGACATTATCAGTGTCATGCTTTCTCAGCCAGTCTTGTGTAGTGCTGATAATGTTATAAGTGTCATGACTCATACACTGTACAACATTATCTGGCCAATACGTAATGGCAATATTTTTTTACACATCACAATAAGTTAAGCAATTTTTTGCTTTTTAAAATCATTTTAATGTAATTTAAGTAGAAATGACTAAAACATCAAAAAACAAAACAAAAAAGTTGATTGTACTTAAAGAAAAAAAACAAAAAAAAACATAAATTTTTACTTATTAAAAAATATTGAATGGATGTTTTCATGTTAGGAAGCTCTGGCAAAGACAAACCCACCTTTCAAAGAAAATGATTGAGAATTTTCCCCACAAAATGACACATTGAAGAATCGCATAATAAGGTTTTCTTGACCATTTACTCTAATAATATAGAGTTTTATATTATTTTTAAAGAAATGTGTCAAGGCCATTCCTTTGGTATTGTTTGAAGTATCATCATAGAAATAACATGGATACTTAAAATGTTACAGTTTTTTTTTATTCGCTTTGGTACTATTTTCACAAGTAAGGTGTACATTTTCAAAACTCTTAGTACAACAATCCAATGCCTTAGAAGTGCTGAAATGAATATGCTACAGTACTTTAAAAGACATAGTTTTACTGTAACATTAGGCAATACACTTACAGTACCCAGAATTTACATAATCTATAATTTCCAAATATCCATAATATATGTAATCAAGTGAAGGATCAATGAAGACATCCTCTACAATCATTTACAGAATATAGTTGCCAATTGTGGTTACCACTATATGTGAAATCAATTAGCTATAACGAGTATTCATCATGTGTGGTTGCAGGTAATTTAAATATATTTATAGAAACACACATTTTATTTCTGTAGTTCTCAAAATCCATATACTGTATATTGCTGAAATGAAAATCTACAGGTTTACCAAATGATTAATTGATTAACCATTAAGATCTGTTGGACTAAATAATAGACAAAAGTATTAAACTGAACAAAACGAGATGCAAATCAAATGTTTGATAGTTAGAGCTTTATGAAAGACAGTTACTGTGAATGAAACAATAATGTAGATGAAACACTTATTTTGTGTTGTGAAAAGGATACTTTGTGATTGTGTGAATTGTACTAACACAGTTGAAAACATGATGAAATGTTTGAAAAAAAGTACACTTTTGATGATCTGTTGTGATATTAACACTAAGAGTTTTGAAAATGTACACCTTACTTGTGAAAATAGTACCAAAGCGAATAAAAAAAAACTGTAATCAACATGATGTATTAGTCCTGTTTTTGTCCTCGGATGTATATTTACTTTTTTGTTTGTTGTTGTGTATAGTTAAATGCAGAGTAAAATTATATAAAAAAGCATAACTATAGCATAACTAAAAAGTGAAAATGCTACAGTGTGTTTTTGATTATTTTGACAATGCATTCATGTGAGAATGTAGTACTCTGGTCTGTGCAATTCAGAAACAATCATATTTGAATCCATCTGTGCAATCAGCACATAATGTGACAAAAGTGTGTGAATTCAGTGTGGTTCTAACCATAATCCATACGGAGGCCAGATTCAGCTGAGAACTTGATTTCTTCCTCTAACTGTCTATGTCTCTAACTGTCTGCAAATGGCGCTGTTGGTGGTGTGTGTCCCTGTGTTCCAGCGTTCTCAGATTTGAGTGTGAAAGTGGGGTACAGAAGTGGGCGAGAGTCTTTGTGAGACTGGAGGCAGCACCAGATGTCCAATTTGCACTTCAGCCGGGCCTGAATGAGCTGCTGGACCACAGGTTTACCCTGACATGTTCACACAGAGAGATAGAGAGAGATAGAGACTTTGTTCAGTCAAAGGCATCACTGTCCATGAGGCATGATGGTGATTTTAGGATTGATGAAGCATGAACTTGTCAATTTCAATTGAATGCATTTTTCATTGCCAGTGCAAAATGAAAATAACAGTAATGCAAATTAAGCTAAACTATTACATTAAATAATTCAATTACATTTGAGAAACTTAGCAACAATAGTTAAATACTGAGTTTTATATCCAAATCTAGAAAGTACTTGATTAGCACTTATATGAAAATATGAAACAGAAGCCAGATTTCTTCAAAGAATGTAAGGAAGCTCTGGCAAAGAAAAACTCTCCTTTCAAAGAAAGCGATCAAGGATTTTTTTCCTCAAAGTTAGGTATTGAAGAAGGTACCTTTCAAAAAAAGTTGAAGTACGATGAGAAACATTTCCCTGCAACCTTGATGGTTGAAGTGTGAAATAATAATGTCTTAGTTTATTCAGTCCAATAAATGATTCTTTTCCTATCAAGAATGTTCGCTTCATAGGAGAATTGTAATTAGTCCTTGTTTGCCCAAACATTTAAATTCTGTGTTGATTTTTACATTGGACCTCCTTGACTTTAATGTTTGGGCAAACATTTGATTTGATTTTAATAAACATTCTCATAACAAAGTCCATTCATTCATTAACTAATTCTTTCATTCTGTTTTTTTTCTTGCTTTTTTCTTCATGTCATTTATTTATTTAGGATTCAAATTTAAATTTGTGAAAATCGAAAGTTGAATTTCTTAACATTAATTAATGCACTGTGAAGTAACATGAACAAACAATGAACAGCTTGAGTTTTAGATTAAGATTAATAAATACAGTATCAAATGTATTGTTCATGGTTAGTTCATATTAGTTAAAACATTAACTCATGTTAACAAGTGAAACCTTATTGTAAATGTGTTACCAGGAATCAGTTACCAGTGATAATGAAATGTAAATAAAAAAAATGACTGCAAGAGAAAAACATTGCTTGTTTTTCAGAGTGTTTGTTCTGAACACTCTCTTCACATTGCCTTGCGCACCTGAGTGTTGCAGTTCGGTTTCAATATCGCAACTGCAAATCCACAGCATCTTTGAATGCAATCTGCACACAGGAGCTGGAGGCAAACTGAAACTCAGGGTCATTCACTG